GTGTATAAGTGTTCTTTTTTCTCCACAACCTCCCCAGCATGTGTTGCTTTTGACTTTTTAATAATAGTCATTCTGACTGGTGTGAGAAGGTATCTCATTGTGGTTTTGATTTGCATTTCTGTAATGATCAGTGATATTGAGCTTTTTTCATATGATTGTTGGTTGCATATATGTCTTCTTTTGAAAAGTGTCTGTTCATGTCCTTTGCCCACTTTTTTTTTTTTTTTTTTTTTGTGAGACGGAGTCTGGCTCTGTCACCCAGGCTGGAGTGCAGTGGCCGGATCTCTGCTCACCGCAAGCTCCTCCTCCCGGGTTTACGCCATTCTCCTGCCTCAGCCTCCGGAGTAGCTGGGACTACAGGCGCCCGCCACCTCGCCTGGCTAGTTTTTTGTACTTTTTAGTAGAGACGGGGTTTCACCGTGTTAGCCAGGATGGTCTCGATCTCCTGACCTCATGATCCGCCCGTCTCGGCCTCCCAAAGTGCTGGGATTACAGGCTTGAGCCACCGCGCCCGGCCTTGCCCACTTTTTTATGGGGTTGTTTTCCTCTTATAAATTTGTTTAAGTTTCTTATAGATGCTGGATATTAGACCTTTGTGGGATACATAGTTTGCAAAAATTTTCTCCCATGCTGTAGGTTGTCTGTTTACTCTGTTGATAGTTTCTTTTGCTGTGCAGAAGATTTTTGGTTTCACTTGACCCCATTCATCAATTTTTGCTTTTGTTGCCATTGCTTTTGGCATCTTGATCATGGAATCTTTGCCTGTGCTTATGTCCTGAATGGCATTGCCTCAGGTGTCTTCCAGGGTTTTTATAGTTTTATAGTTTTAAACCTTTAATCTACCTTAAGTAAATTTTTGTCTGTGGTGTAAGGAAGGGGTCTAGTTTCAATCTTTTGCATATGGCTATCTAGTTATTCCAGCACCATTTACTGAATAGGGAGACTCCTTTCCCCGTTGCTTGTTTTTGTCAAGTTTGCCAAAGATTCTAACTGGTGTGAGATGGTATCTCATTGTGGTTTTGATTTGCATTTCTGTAATGATCAGTGATGCTGAGCTTGTTTCATCTGATCGTTGGTTGCATATATATCTTTGGGTTTTACATTTAACTCTTTAAGATAGTTGTAGATGTGTGGTCTTATTTCTGGGTCCTCTATTCTGTTACATTAGTCTATGTGTTTGTTTGTGTACCAGTACCATGCTGTTTTGGTTACTGTAGCCCTGTAGTATAGTTTGAAGTCTGGTAGCATGACGCTTCCAGTTTTGTTCTTTTTGCTTAGGATTGCCTTGGCTGTTTGGGCTCCTTTTTGGTTCCATATGAAGTTTTTAAAAACTGGTGTTCTGAAAAAATTAATAAAACTCATAATCTATTTCTTAAACATTTTCAAGAACCCAAACAAAATCATGACTGTTTTTGGAGATTGCTCATTGAAGGTTTTTAAAAATTTATTTACTTCCCAGTAACTGGTCTATTAAAATCTTATTGGTTAAAAAAAATAAAATAGATAGACTTGTAGCTAGACTAATAAAGGAGAAAGAGAGAAGATTCAAATAAACAATCAGAAACAATAAGGGCAATATTACCACTGACCCCACAGAAATACAAACAACCATCAGAGAATATTATGAAGAACTCTATGCACATAAACTAGACAATCTAAAAGAAATTGATAAATTCTGGGTCACATCCACCCTCCTTGTGATGCAAGGTTGGTTCAACATATGCAAATCAATAAATGTGATTCATCACATAAACAGAACTAAAGAAAAAATCCACATGATTATCTTAATGGATACAGAAAAGGCTTTTGATAAAATTCAATATCCATTCATGTTAAAGACTCAATAAACTTGGTATTGAAGGAACATACCTCAAAATAATAAGAGCCATAAGTGACAAACCCACAGCCAACATCATACTAAATGGACAAAAGCTGTAAGCATTCCCCTTGAAAACTGGCGTAAGACAAAGATGCCCTGTCTCCCCATTCCCACATTAGCTTTGAGGGGTCTTTTTTGCTCTTGGATTTCTAGTTCTTTTAGTTGTAATATTGGGTTGTTAACTTGAGATCTCACTTTTTGATGTGGTCATTTAGTACTATAAATTTCTCCCTTAACACTGCTTTACTAGCTGCATCCTGGAAACTCTGGTAAGTTGTGTCTTTGTTCTCATTAGTTCCAAAGAACTTCTTGATTCCTGCCTTAATTTCATTATTTACCCAGGAGTCATTCAGGAGCAAGTTATTCAATTTCCATGTAATTTTATGGTTTTGAATGAATTTCTTAGTCCTGATTTCAAATGTGATTGCATTTGCTTTGTGACCTAACATATCTTCTATCCTTGAGAATGATCCATGTGCTGAGTAGAAGAATGTGTATTCTGCAGCCATTGGATGAAATGTTCCTTGAATATCTATTAGTTCCATTTGGTCTATAGTGCAGATTAAATTTGACGTTTCTCTGTTGATTTTCTGTCTGGAAGATCTGTCCAATGCTGAAAGGGGGGTGTTGAAGTCTCCAGCTATTACTGTGTTAGGGTTTATCTCTCTCTCTTTTTTAGCGCATGTGTCTGTTCTTATTTCTCTCTCTTTCTGTCTGTCTCTGTTTCTATCTCTGGAATTCTGATCATTTTAGTGTTGAACCTCCTTTAATTTTCTTCTGTGTTTCAACTTTTTTCTTATAGCTCTATTTCTGGAGGACATAAGGGTCACCTACTCAACTTTGTCTTCTTAGCATTCTAATGAGAATTTTTTAAACAAGTTTTGCTGTCATATTTTCAATTTCTAAGAGTTTTCTTATTCTTTAAATTGAGTTCTTGTTTCATGAAAATGGTAACTGCTTTTTATCTCTTTGAGAACACTCATATGGGTTTCTGAAGGTCTTATCTCCTAGTTTAGCCCTTTCCATTCAGGCTGCCTTTATTTGTCTGCTTGCTTTGGTCTCTGCCATTCATGTTAGAAGCTTTGCTCAGATGCCTGGTGACCCTTAGCTGTCTGTTTCTGTTAAAAAAAGAAATGGAGGACTGAAAAGCTAAAAGCTGATAGAAGCTCTCTGATTGTAAGCTTTCTTGGAAGGTGATTTTGCAGGGTCAGAGTTTTTCACTTGGGCTGGAGAGATTCTCTCCAGAGAAGAATCATCTTACCTTCTGACCAAGTATCTGCCACCCTCATTGGAACCAAGTGATAGGAAACCTGGAGGATCTCAGTATTCAGTGTGTACATTTAAGCACTTGGTGTCTGGAGAGCTCCTGCCTAGAGACACCATATTTTACCCTGTAGAGAGGAAACCTCCAGCCTACTGCCACCGTGGGATGCAGTCATCCAGTCTAGGGAGAGGATCTGGGATCTACCTACTACTTAAATAGAATTCAACCCTATTTTCACGCTTATGTTGCTTCTGCCTCCCGAGGTAAATTATGCTGCCAACTCTTGAACTTTTGGGGATCCTGGTTGCCTTCCTACTGCTAGCTTGGGATTCAGCATCCCTGGGTCTGCTGTCAGGTGCCACTCACAGATTCTACTTTCCAGTTTCCTAAATGCTGAAGGTATTGTCTTTCTTTTCTTCTTATCTTTATTGGTTTATTTATTTATTTCTAATAATCTCATGTTAATGTGGTTTAATGATGGAGTGAAGGTATATGCATTTATTCAACCAAACATCTTAGCTGAAATCTACGTATTTATCTCAGAGTAAAATCTTAATCATTCCATGTTTCAATTAATCAGAATTTTATATATGCATTCTGATTTGGGGGTGATGTGGGGGAGGGGGTGGGAGAGAGAGAGAGAGAGAGAGTCAGAGAGAGCCAGAAAGAGGATACTATGACCAACAAATCTGTGGGTCTATGTACTTCGAAGTCAATAGGAATTTAGCCCTGTTTCCTGTCTAAAAAGCAGTGATGTCTAGAAAATGGATCCTGAACTAGTCTAAGAATCTTTGAGGCAATGGGGCAGATCCAGTTGTGTTCAATTTTTAGTCCTTAGGCTGAAAGGGGAAATACTGTAAAGCACATTTAAAAAAAAATTTCTGAAAGTGGAGTTTTCTGATTTGCCCTTAAATCATTGGATGTGGAAGGTAGCCATGCATCTTTGGCTAACTCAGGATTCATTGCTACATTCAGCGAGTTCATCTCTATATTCATGTCCTTTCTCTCCAGCTTAATATCAAAAATTTAAAAGTGAGGAACGTAGAATAGTTGCAATAAAAGAAACAGATCACCCGTAACCTGCCTCTTCTCCCTCCCACCCAAAGACAACCATTGTTAACATTTTGCTATATTCTCTTCCTGTACTTTTTTTCCAGGCACCTTTATTCAAAGATATTTTTGACCCTAAAATTGTTTTAGACAATGAATATGCTGTCAGAGAAAAACTCCCACTCTCTTCACACTCCAGACCCCCCAGCTTGAAGGTGATTGACTCGGGAATCCCATATCTTAACTTTATAGTGTTGCTATAATGTCTTTTATCTGGGTATTCTGAGGTGTTCTCTCCTTATCACACTCTCCTTCATTCCCTTCCTCCCCGACACACACACACATCCACACACACATTCTCTCTCTCTCTCTCATACACACACACTTACATGCACAGACACACACGCACATACACATGTGCACACACACACATATGCACAAACAAGCAATGGGTCAGAGAAAGCCATGTGGAAAACCATTATTACTCTCCAAAAGAAGGACACCCACACTTTTACAATGGACCAAAAAAAAGCTCTGTTTCTGTGAAAAATGAATTTTCTATTAGGCCTGGAAAGAAACTAAAAAATGTTTCTCCCTGTATCCAATGGGAACTTGTGTGTGTGCACACGCCCGTGCGACAGAAAGAGTGAGGGAGAGAGGGAGGGAGAGAAGAAGGGAGGGAAGAAGGGAGAGAGATTAAAGGGCAAATGTACTGTGGCAAGCTCATCCTGACTGAGCGAGGAGCAGGCAGCTGTGGTGCTGAGATAGGAGCTTGAAATGCTTCATGGTGCCAAGACTGTCATAAACGGCTCCTGAGGTCTGAAAAAACGACAGCAGGATTCAGCGTTCCTCTGATAACCACTCAGAAAATAGAATGTGAAGAAGAAGGAGGAAGGGAAGATGCGGGGCCAGCCATCAGAATGCTCCCTGTGGCTCCATGGATGCCTAGAAATGCTGGTCACTTAAAGGGCACAGGTGAGGGGAGGTTTGGACAGGTGGCAGCAGTGCTGCCAAGCTACATAGCCTGCTCTCCCAATGGTGAATGTTCTTGTGTAAGTAGTGGGGAAGATAGTCCACTAGTTGACATAGGCCCTCTTGTCCTAGACATACATTTTAATTTTCTCGGGTGATCACTTGCTTGATTGTCTGTGTAAAAGGTCAGCAATGCTTTTTTCTGTAAAGGTCTAGGTAGTAATGGTTTAGGCTTGGCGGCCCATATGGTCTGTGTCACAGCTATTCAGCTCTGCTGTGGTGGTGTGAAAGCAGCCATATAAATACATAATAAAGGAGTGGGGCTGAGCTCCAAAGTAACTTTATGAGCACTGAAAAATTGCATTTTATGTAATTTTTACATGTCCCAAAATATTATTATTCTTTTGAATTCTTTCAACCATGTAAAAATGTAAAAATCATTCTCGGCTCATAAGCTGTATAATGAGAGACCACAGGCTGGAACTGGTGCATGGGCCATGGTTGCCCAAACCGTGTGTCCAAACTATGGCATTGCACAGGCGGCAGGGATCTCTGACCCTCTCTGTCTTTTTTCTCTTTCCTTCTCTTCAGTTTACCATCGTGCTGATTTGGAAACCAGGATCAAAAGCTCAGGGAAGTGAAAGATTTCTGACTTAACCCGTTAGTGGCAGTGTTAGGAAAAAAACCCAGTCTCAAGGAGCAGTTCTTATAGCCCAGACCAAGACTGAAGGCTGCTATTGTGATCGCAGAGGGCATGCCATCCTGAGGCACACTAGCTTCTTAGGGTTACACTGAATCTGAAAGTTACTTCTTTTTAAAATCTTTCTGTTTTATGATTCTTCAATGCATAATTTGTTAATTTGTGCCAGTTACTCTGCTTAACACAACTGGGATATAGAGATAAGCAAGGTTCAACCCTGCCCTTTAGGAACTAATTTCTTCAGGGTCTGATTTTGATAATCCAGACAAATCTACTTATGTGTAGTTTCACCCTTAAAAACAAAATCCAGTACACTTATGTAAGTTATAATAATAATTAGAATTTGGAGGAAATCTGTTCTTGGAGCAAGAAGGCAAAAGAGAATAAAAAGTAAATGTCGAAGTCACCCTCTTACTGTGTGTGTTGAGGTTAAAACAACAAGACTATTATTTTAAATGAATACACAGAAATTTTGCTACCAACCGAGTACAATTTCTAATAGGAGATACGTTGATTTCTCTGATTCCAGGCATTTCTGGAAGTGTCCTTACTACCTACATTACTTCCTTCTGTAAAGCTCTACTGGTCAAGTCTTTACCTTTTGTGGTTGGATTTTTGGTTTTGGAAATTACAACCTGCTTTTGAAGTCGCATTTTGTAAATTAGTTGAGACGTCTTGCTGAGTGATAATGTTTGAGTCAAAAACGTCATGAAAAGCATGCTATGAATGGTGAGTTGTCATGGCAAAGATCCCAATTGTTGGACTGAGGCAGAGAGGTAGAAAGAACACAGACTTTAAGGTCTGACAGATGTAAGTGTAGCTCCCACCTCCACCACGTATTAGATGTGTGCTGTTAAAAGAGATATTATACCTCTTTGAGCGTCAGTTTTCCTATCTGTAAAAAGAAGATGGTAATCCTTTCTTTGCACTATTGTTGTAAGGATTAGAGATGACATAAATTAAAATGTTTCCAGCATGCTACGTATTCAACATACATTGGATACACTTATTTGGCCAGTTCACTGCAAAGGGTAGTATACAGGAGTAAGAATTTTTTTTTTTTTTTAATCAAAATAGACTTTTTTTGGGATTAAACTCTGAAGCAGTGTTAAATGAATGAATCAAGATCTTTTTCACTTCTGTTGTTGAAGTATGTGCCTTCTTACGTTTGGTAATGTTGGAGTTTTCCACAGAAGAAGCTGACACTTCACTTCTGAATCATACTAGAAATACCATGTTTCAATGTTAGTTACTATTTTCTTTTTAAAAAAGTGTCATTTGTCTGGCTTCCCTTGAAAGATCAGCTAAATGTCACATTATCCCTGCTTCTGCTCATCTTTCAGAATGCTCACCACAATAGTCATAACGATTTCTTCATGCTCAAGTTTATTTAAAAAATGTTCTAAAGATAGTGTTACTGAATTTGTATTCGTTTAATAAAAATCAGGTTTATTTTTTCCATATAAAAATACAGATTCATTGTAAAACATCTAGAAAACAAAGAAAAGTAGATCTAAAAAAAATCTTAGTCTAATCACACAAAGCTAGCCACAGTTAAATTACTGTTTCCATTTTGGTATATTTTATTTTAATATTCTTACTATTTTTACTATCCTTCCTTGTATCTATAATGGTGGTAACATGATGTATATATGAATGTGTATATATTACATAAATATATGAAATATATAAGTGTGTCTTTTTAAAATGGTGTCTGTTTATTGTTTGTTATATATATATAAACATGATGTATATATCTGATATATGTGTGTGTGTGTGTATATATATATATCTCCATGATAGAAGTTGAAAACTACTGAAAACTGCATAGAAGTTATGAGAAACTACCTCTAATCTCATTATATAGAAATAACTTTCTTCCCCATTGCTTCTCCACATTTTGGCTTAGATTAAATTTAGAAATAATTTTCTTAACATTTTTTTCTATTGTATTTTTAGAGTGTCTAGATATTGCTGCATATTATTATTATTTTTATGTATAGTTATTACAGGAACACCCACCAAGATAATTGTTCTGGAAAAGAATTTGGTAACAAATATTTTCTGCCAGAAAGTGTTATATTAGCCTTTTCCAGTGAGAAAGATCACCACTGATGACCCAGGTTATTCAATATGGGTTTTAAAAGATAAATTCCTGGACATGAAAGTAGACATTGAGTTTATATCAACAGCTCAATCTTTTTTTTTAAAATAGACTTTAGTTTTAAAGCAATTTTAGGTTAATAGCAAAGTATAGTGGAAAGTACAGAGAGTTCCTACATGCCCCACCTCCCCAAATGCACAGCCTTCCCCACTATCAGCATTGTTCACTAGAGAGGTACGTTTGTTACAATGAATAAACCAACATTGACATGTTACTGTCACCCAAAGTCTATAATTTACATTAGGGTCCATTCTTGCTGTTGTACATTCAGTGGGTTTTGACAAGTGTGTAATGGCATGTGTCTACAATTATAGTAACACACAGAGTAGTTTCATTGCCCTAAACATCCTCTCTGCTCTGCCTTTTCATCCCCATCCCCACTTCCCAACCCCAGCAATCACTGAACATTTTACTGTCTCTATAGTTTTGCCTTTTCCAGAATGTCATATAGTTGGAGTCATATAGTAAGTGGTCTTTTCAGATTGGTTTCTTTAACTTAGTAATAGGTATTTCAGTTTCATGTATGTCTTTTAATGGTTTCATAGCTCGTTTTTTTTTCCTTTTTTTCTGCAACAAAAGCCACAGTCAAAGCTTATTTGTTTTTATTACTGAATAATAGTCCATCGTATAGATGTACCAGTTTGTTTACCCATGCACTTACTGAAGGACATCTTGGTTGCTTCCAAGTTTTGGCAATTATGAATAAAGCTGTTATAAACATGTATGTGCAGGTTTCTGTGTGGACACAAGTTTTCAATTCATTTGGGCAAATACTAGCAAGTGTGACTGCTGCATCACATGGTAAGAGCACGTTTGGCTTTGCAGGGAACTGCCAAACTATCTTCCAAAGTGGCTGTGTCATTCTGCATTCCTACTAGCAATGAATGAGAGTTCCTGTTGCTCCACATCCTTGCCAGCAGTTGGCATTGTCAGTGTGATGGATTTTGGCTACTCTAATATATATGTATTTGTATTCATTTTAATTTGCATTTCCTTAATTATATATGATGTGGAGCATCCTTTCGTATGTTTATTTACTATCTTTGTCTCTTCTTTTTTTTTTTTTTGAAACGGAGTCTCGCTCTGTCACCCACGCTGGAGTGCAGTGGCCAGATCTCAGCTCACTGCAAGCTCTGCCTCCCAGGTTTACACCATTCTCCTGCCTCAGCCTCCTGAGTAGCTGGGATTACAGGCGCCCGCCAACTCAGCCGGCTAGTTTTTTGTATTTTTTAGTAGAGATGGGGTTTCACCGTGTTAGCCAGGATGGTCTCGATCTCCTGACCTCGTGATCCACCCGTCTCGGCCTCCCAAAGTGCTGGGATTACAGGCTTGAGCCACCGCGCCCGGCCTGTCTCTTCTTTGGTGAAGTGTTTGTTCAGGTCTTTTGCCTATTTTTTAATCATGTTGTTCATTTTCTTATTGTTGAGTTCCTGGTATATTTTTGATAATAGTTCTTTATCAAATAGAAAAATATTGATAAAGATTTTAATCTAATATCAAATAGAAAAATATTATCTTTTGCAATTATTTTTTCCCAGTCTGTTGCTTGTCTTCTGATTCCCTTGGCAGTGTCTTTCATAGAGTAGAAGTTTTTAATTTTAATGAAGTCCAGCTTATCAAATCACATCTTTCATGGATTGTGCCTTTGATGTTGTATTTAAAAAGTCATTGCCACACTCATGGTCATCTAGATTTTGCTCTACTGTATCTTCAAGGAATTCTTTGTATTTTCTGTTTGGATCTACGATCCAATTTGAGTTAATTTTTATAAAGGGCATAAGTTTTGTATCTAGATTCACTTTTGTTTTTTTGCATGTGGATGCCCCATTGCTCTAGTACCATTTGCTGAAAAGACCATCTTTTCTCTATTGTATTTCCATTGCTCCTTTGTTAAAGTTCACTGAATGTATCGGTGTGGGGTATATTACTGGGCTTTCTATTCTGTTACATTGATCTATTTGCTTTTTCTTTTACCAATACCACGCTATCCTGATTATTGTTACTTTATAGAAAGTATTGAAGTCAGGTAGTGTCAGTCCTCTGACTTTCTTCTTCTCTTTCATTATTGTATTGATTGTTATGGATCTTTTGCCTCTGCACATAAACTTTAGAATCAGTTTGTCTGTACCCACAGAACAA